CGGCCGCCAGGGCGCGCTGGTCCAGGACGGCGGCCCGGACGCGCGGACGCTCAAGAAACACACCAACGATGAGCGGCTGCTCTATGGGATGAACTTCGCCTCCAACGCCTACCGGCTCAGCCCGACGGACGAGCACGTCAACCCGTACGTCCGGGGGGATACCGCGGGGGGGGTGGGACACCTCCTGAACAACCGCTTCGACATCGAGCGACGCGAGGATCGCATTAGCAGAGGTGAAGCCGATCTCACCGAGCGAAGCATCATCCATTACGGCGTCCCGATCCAACAGACGGTCGACGAGTTCGTGTTTCGCCATCGCAACGCGCGTGGTGAGCGGCCTATCGACTATTTTAAGCCCTTTCCGTCTTTCCGTGATCACCGGCTGAATTGGATGTATCAGGACACCGAGGGCTTTGCGGTGATAAGGCAGCGGCCGGATTTTTTAGAGTGGGAGCTTTTTGTGCGATATCGCGCCCATCATCAGCATCGACGGGACTTGGCGCTTCAGCACGGGTTGGAGCCATTGACTAACGAAACAGCACAGGAGCGAGACGCGCGGCGTCTGAAGCTGGACAAGTTGTGCGAGCAAACCCCGTTTGATTCATCTCGCATAACGATCCGAGGCGACGAAATGGAGGTCGATCTGGAGACGCTGCGTAGTTGGTTTGGTGTCTACCTGCTTCCATCCCCGACCATTGTTGAATCGGTGGTTACCAGCCGTGGTACCATAGGGCTACATCAACAGCACCTCAGCGATGAATTCGGCACCGCGGACACCCGCGAGCATGTGATGAGCATTCGGTATTTCAATCAACTCTTACTCGATGAGGGCTATTTGTACCGTATCTCACAGGGATTTCTGCGCGATATTGTAGGATCCGCGAAGGAGGTGGAGTTGAAGTATGCGCAGCCGTTTGATGTGCTTAGAGGGTTTAGTATGGAGGAACAAATAATGTATCAAGACTATGTGCGTGGCGAAAACGAGAAACATCACTCGAAATGGGAGGCAATGTGCCAGAAACGTCGCTATTACACACCCATGCAGCAATACGCCAAAGTTCGCACGGAGGGCAACGCCGTGACCGTTATCGACCTCCAAGAAGAAGAAAAGGGCAACCTTCTCACGATCTCTGTCGATCATTTTGCGAAGCAGCTGGGGAATGTGTTGGGCCAGCCTAATGCAGGCGCCCCCAGCACGAAAGAAAAGGAGGGGCCTGAGAAAGTCTCTATAGTAGTCGATGGCGTCAGCTATTCCGTCCTTCCGTGGACTCAGCGCCGCGTGGTGCCGCTCACCGTAGAGCTCGAATCCGGCGAGCTACTGGAGACGACGGATGAGGACTTTGAGACCTACCCCTTGGAGGTCGACGCGAGCGCTGAGTACAACCACGCTCTCCGATACGGCGTCGCGGACTATCACTACAACCGCTCAAATTACATCGAGACGCAGGACGCGTTATGGGAGAAGGCAACCGCGGAGGGTGTGGAGGGGTGGTCGCTCGCCACGCACGCAGACGGTCTTAAAGCGGGCCTACCGGTGCGTGCGCGACGCCATCTTGCGTGTTTGTCCTCAACCGGCGCTTCGCACCCGACCCTGGACAACGTCCGGGGGGATTACCAACGAGGCCACATCGTAGAGTACCTGAAGCAACCGTTCTTTAATCCCGAGCCCCGGCTCGTGACGGTTTGCTTCGCGTCGGACGGGGCCGTCGAGGAGGTGCCGCTCGCGGAGCTGATGATTTGGCAGAGGCGCTACCACGGCCCCGAGCGCACGGTCGCCGACGAATCCAGCCGGTATAACTTGATGTCGTTCAATCGCTACGTCGATGTGGCGGATCCCGAGAGGGAGAAAACCCGAACCGGCCACCTGGACGGTCGCCCCCCGAGCCACTTTCTGGAAAAGTACCTGGCCGACTCCCAGGTCGAGCTCGACGCCGCGCGCTACCGCACGATGAAGCATATCATGGAGATCGACACCTGGGGAAGCTTCGACACGCGGCGCGCGGAGCACCACCGCCCCCTCGGCATCTCCCACCGCCGGGACTACGTCCGTCTGGGCTACTTCCCGCGCTTCACCCCGTGGGAGTGGATTCAGGTCCAGGAAGGGGACCAACCCGTGCTGGACGCCACCCTGCGCCGGGATGACCTCGGGGCCAGTCCCTTGTTTTCGCTGCAGCGGCACTGGCGGGGGAAGGCGCGGCCGCACGGGACCCTGCGCCAGTACGAGCACGAGGTGCGCGACCTCGCCCAGTTCGTCGACGGCGTCACGCCCTGGCGCCAGGCCCAGAAGATCCGCACCTACTGGGAGGTCCGCCAGCACCACCCGATGCCGCAGTTCAACCGGCCCGAGGTGGCGCTGCATCGGAATACCGCCGCACTCCTCCCGACCCATCTCTGGGAGGCCGATAAGAAGACAGGGAAGGTCAAGGCGCTCAAGGACTCCGTGCGGGATTAT